ACATATTTATTTATAATATTTAAATATAGTTGGATTTGGATATTATAAACACACACACACACAAACACACATATATATTGCATGAAGTTATGTATAGAGGCTGAGCATAGACCTTACAAAATTATATATGTGATTTAGAATTTGGATTTAAAATAATACAGTGATAATATTTTTATATATAAGTACTTATACTCCAGTAACCAGTTAAGAGCACAGCTATCTAGCAGATAGATAGATTAAGTAATTAGATACCGGTCAATCCTAATACAGAGATTCTATCACTGAATGTTAATTTGGGATAATATAATTAATATAGTACAACAGAAACAAATCTTAAAAGAAATGATTTCCACAACTACTACAGCTCTGAAAACTGGAAGAAAGGTCACCCTGACGTTAACAACTACGTCGGCAACAGCTTCGCCCATGGCACAAAAAACCATAGAAGAAACATTACCAGTGGAGAAAGAAGCTAACATCTCGAATGCCAACATCCAATCAATTTTGCTGACTTTACAGGAATCGATGACGAAGCTGAAAGAAACAATGATGAAAAGCCATAACGAGACGAGAGCAGATATCAATGAACTAAAAGAGGAGGTGGGGAAATTAAAAGCAGAAATGAAAGTGGATATCTCCAAAGTAGAGGACAAAGTTGGATTATTACAGCAGGCCTTGGAGAAAAATGAAGCAACAATAAAAGAGGTAGAGAAAAGGACTGAACGAACCGAAAGGAAATTAGAAAGGGTAGATGAAGAATTAAAGAATGTGAGTAAAGAAATGGAGGACTCACTGGTCTACCTAGAGATGGACAAGGCTGCTACATACTTGAGATTCCAAAATGTAGTGGAATCCAAAGAAGAAGACCTGGAACAACTAATGGCGGGAATACTGGCTGGACTATTGGAAAAGGATAAAGATGACATCTTAAGGGAGTTTGATGAAGTTTACAGGATTAGCACTAATTATGCGAGACGCCATAAATGCCCAAGAGAAGTCCATATACGATTTGCGAGAAGGAGTGTCCGGGATATCATATATAGGATGTCAAGAGATGAAACAATCACGTATAAAGGTAAAGAAGTCTTGATTCTCAAACAAATACCAAGAAGAGTAAGAGAACAAAGACGAGACTACAAGTTCTTAGCAGCTTACCTAAATCAGAAAAGAATCGTATTTAAATGGCTAATCCCAGAGGGGATGTTAGTTTTTTGGAACGAAAGGAAAATTAAAATAGACTCCATGGAAAAGGCCCAGGAATTTTATGAGCGATTGGTAGGTCTGGAAGACCAGAGCAGTAAGGAGGAACTGGAAACAAACTCCCAGGAAGATCAAGGCTATCATAAGAACAGAGATGGAACTTTAGGAAATCAAGGAAATACTCATCTACATCAGGAGAGAGAAGAAAGTAGGACACATCTTCAGGCACAAGGAGCGACCGGAGCCATTACAAGACAAAGAGCGAAACTAATTAAATGGAAGAAGAATTAATTAAATGGAAGAAGAAAAGAAACTACTATCAATTAATATAAATGGTTTAAACTCGATAAAAAGGAAAAGGATAATAGCTAAACTAATCAAACAAAATGCTGATATAATATGCCTACAAGAAACTCATATAAAGAAAACAGATGAAAAATACCTAGAATGTCCGAAATTAGGGAAGCTATTTACCGCACCAGCAGACATGGGAAAAAGAAAGGGATTGCAGTATATGTTAAAGAGGATTTGAAAGCAGATTTAATATGGTCGGATTATGAGGGAAGAACTCTGGTTTTGCAGATCTGGATTAATGCCATCCCAATTCTCTTCGTGGTAATCTACGCCCCGAACGGAGATCAAAAAGAGTTTTTTAAGCATCTTTATGGAAAAATAGTAGGATTGGAAAAAAGAAATATTTGTATCATAGGAGACTTTAATTCTATTGCTGATTATCAAAAAGACCACAGTAACGGGGGGGAAGAACAAAGGGGGGAAAAGAGAGCTTCCCAAGATATGTATGGAAATGATGAAGGAGTTAAATTTGATTGATATATGGAGAAGATTACATCCCAAGAAAAAACAATTTACATTCTATTCAAATCCTCATCAAATATGGACACGAATTGATATGGCATGGATGAATGTGGAAATAGCAAATGAGATAAAAGGGATTGAAATTTTACCTAATGAATGGGCAGATCACAATCCAATTCAGATAATATGGAAGGGTAGGGAAAAACCCAAGAAAAGATGGACGTTAAATACTCAGTTAATAAGAGAAAAAGAATACACCAACAAACTCAAGGAGGAATTAAATTATTTCTTAAAGGAAAATGATAATGGAGCAACTACAAAACAAAACATTTGGGATACAATGAAGGCAGTAATAAGAGGTATAACAATCTCTTATAACGCCAAGAGGAATAAGGAAAAATACGCCCAGCAAAACAAATTACAACAAAAAATTAAGGAATTAGAAACTCAATTACAGAGTACCCCAAAGGAGTCAAAATTGCAAAATCAGATAATAATAACTAAACATAAATTGAATTGAATTGAACAAGAGAGAATGATTATAAATTTGAATACAACTAGACAAACTTATTTTGAGCATGCTAATAAGCCAGGGAGATGGCTATCATACAGACTTTAAAAAAAAAGAAAGAAAAAAGATTGATTTACCAGCTGGAAAGGGAGATATACAACAAGAGATAGAACAGAAAAAAGAAATTGCCCATAAGTATTTTGAAGAGTTATATAAAAAGGAAGAAGTTAATGAAGATAGAATAAGAAACTATTTAGATGAAGTGAAGGATAAAGCAATTGGGGAAGAAATGGAAGAATTATTAAACAAAGACTACTTGGTTTGAATTGAAATCAGCAATAGAGAACCAGAAAAACAATAAATCCCCGGAACCAGATGGGATTCCAGGGGAGCTGTACAAGGCAATAACAGAACAAATAGAACCTCTTATGGTGGAAGTTTTTAATGACGTCTTATTGGCAGCCAGGATGCCGGACTCATGGAGGGGGGCATTGATTTCGCTGATCCCAAAGGAGGATTCGGATCCCCGATATATACAAAATTATAGGCCAATTTCACTGTTAAATACTGATTACAAAATATTCACTTCTATTATAGCAAGTAGACTAAAAAGAATGTTAAATGAGCATATATATGAAGATCAAAATGGATTTCTCCCGACCAGACAAATTAGGAACAACTTAAGAATAGTACTAGATATCTCAGAATTTTACGAAGCCCACCCTGAAAAACAAATTGCACTTATGTTTTTAGATGCAGAGAAGGCCTTCGATAATTTAAATTGGCAATTTTTAACCCAAAAACATTATAATATGAATGTAGGCACCAAATTTGAAAATATTATAACAACCATTTATGATACACAACAGGCTAATATTATAATAAACGGGGAATATACCCGCCCAATAAAAATAGAAAAAGGAGTCAGACAGGGCTGCCCACTCTCACCTCTGCTCTTCATATTATCATTAGAAGCATTACTAATGCGAATTAGACAGAACCCAGATATAAAAGGATTAAAGGTTAAGAAAGAAGAATATAAGTTGCAAGCGTTTGTGGATGATATTTTTTTCATTGAGGAACCAATAGAAAGAGGACATAAATTGATGAATGAATTAGAACAATTTGGAGCAGTAGCAGGACTTAATAGGAAGAAAACAAAATTAATGACTAAAAATTTAACAGAAAAACAGAAAATAGAACTAGAAGAAGTTATGGGAATACAAGTGATAAAGAAAGTTAAATACTTAGGAATATGGTTGACAGCACATTGTAAGACACTTAAGGAAAATAATTATGATAAATTGATGCAACAGGTAAAGAAGGATTTAGAAACATGGGGCAAGCTGCAACTTTCATTATTAGGCAGGATTGTTGCTATTAAAATGAATATTCTTCCAAAATTCCTATATATATTTCAGACGATCCCAATTAAAGTACACAATTTTTTTTTTGAAGAACTTAATAAAATAACTGTAAAATTTATCTGGCAAGGGAAAAAACCTAGAATAAATGTAAAGGCAATGCAGGATATGAAGAGCAGGGGAGGGCTGGCACTTCCAAATTGGGAGTTGTATTATAGTGCAGCCTCTTTAGTATGGTTGAAGGAATGGGTGAATTTAACCAATAAGAGAATTTTATTCTTAGAAGGCCATGACTTGCAGAGGGGGTGGCATGCTTTTTATGGGATGTAGGGAAAACTAGCCAGAAATATTTTCACAGACACCTAATCAGAGACTCATTATTAACTAATTGGAAGAAAATACGGAAAAAAACACAATTTAAAAATGCCAATTTGGATTTCAACAATAGAGGCGATGATTCACCCAAATAATCTGGATATCTCTAAAATGATTAAATATAAGGATCTATTGGATACACAAGGAAATTTGAAATTGCGGCAAGAACTTCAAGAGTGGGGACTAAAAATTGATCAGTGGGCATATCTTCAAATTCAAAGTAGATATAAACAGGACAAGAAAGAATTTGGAATTAACAATAAACTCCAGCAATTAGATAAAATTTTATTAGGATCAGGCAAAAAAAAAATAACAAAATTTTATAATTATTTATTAGAAGTAGAATTAGAAGAAGAAATTGTAAAAGGGAACATGATAGCCGGGAGTAGGAATATAGGACGTAGCATCACCATAACAGAATGGGAAAAGGTCTGGGGTAGAAATAATAAAATTACAAAATCGGTAGCATACAAAGAAAACACCTATAAAATGTTTTATAGATGGCACCTTCCTCCTTCGAGATTAGCGAAGATGCACCCCAATATGCGTCCGAATTGCTGGAAATGCAAAAAAAAAAAAAAGAGGGAACTTTTTTCCATATGTGGTGGTCCTGTACAGTAGCTCAAAAATATTGGCAGAAAATTAGAAATTGGCTGGAAGAAATGACAAGAGAACAGATCGAATTCAAACCAGAGTCCTTTCTGTTAGGGATCTTTGATAAACAAATATGAAAAAAAGTGAAATATATAATAATACACATTTTGACAGCGGCCAGATTGGCTTTTGCACAATGTTGGAAACAACCTCATGTTCCATCAGAGGAGATGATCATTCAAAAAATTTCAAGTTGTGCAGAAATGGACAAATTAACTTTGGCATTAAAAAATAAAGACACTTCAATATACTACAACAGCTGGAACTGCTGGTACAAATGGATAGACCAAAGATAGACTTCACACTAAAAGGCAAAAGAGGATAGGATAAATCCATAGTAGTGATAGACAGATATATGTAAGGATTAGGTGTGTGTATATGGCATAAAATAAGGATAAAAAAGAGGTTTTACAAACTGTTGAAGATGAGAATGTTTTTAATTGTTTTCTATTTTTTTCTTTTTATTTTCTTCTCCCTTTCTTCTTTTTCTCTCTTTCATTTATGTATGTGTTGTTGGTTTGTTTTAATTGTAAAATCAATTAAATTATTTTTTTTAAAAAAAAAAGCTGATTCATTTCAATCGTTAATTTGTACCAAATCTTTAAATTCTTGAATCAACTAGAATTAGACAACCTACTGTTTGGTAAACTAGAACCATGTGCATCACCACCAGGTAGATTTGTAACTGGCTGACAAACCGTACTCAAGTCATCCTTCATGGTACCACATCTACATGGAGTGTTTATGGAAATTCTCAGTCATCCAGGTCATGGTTGTCCACATTTTGGACACAGAGAGGACTACTGGTTCGAAAGGGGGAGGTCAAAGAGGCCATCTATGTAAAAATTGTGTCTCAACAGTGGGGGAGGGATACAACACCCTCTGTCTCCAGGCTACAACAGAGTCCTTTCGGCAGTTCCAAGAAAGCCCCACACCCATTTGTGCTACGCAGGTTACCCTGAAGACACAGATAGACCTCCAAGGGGCCTCAACAACTTTCTAAGGTAGTCGGAACACAAAATAACTGGGCTAAGTAGACCCAGAATGAGAGATTATATATGTATTAGAATGACTAGGTTGGTCAAAAATAATTGTACAAGACTAGCAATGTATAAGTAGTGTATATGTTATTTGTCTTTCGCTTTGGTGTGCATGGCGGAGGAAATGCCAGGATAGCCACACTGTGTTCGATATAACTATATGTATATAATAAAAATATATTTTAAAAACAAGTTACTAAAAGAATGCAAATGACCAACTGCCTGTAAGGAGTATAGATCCTTCCTTTCCCACCATCTAGTCAGAGTTAAAGAAACTTCTTAGATGAGAAGCGAAACGTCTTAAAAGCAAAACAAAGTCCAGTTGCCTGTTGAAAAAATACCTTTGGGATCTACATGGAGAGAAGTCAGCAGTAGGGAATCACAAGGTTCCATCTCAGACCCAGGACTCCTCAGTAGCTTCATAAATGACTTAGATGAGGGAATAGAAGGGGAACTCATCAAATTTGCAGATGAATAGCCAACACCCCAGAAGACAAGCTCAGGATCCAAAAAGATCTTGACAGACTTGAACAATGAGCCCTATCCAACAAAATCTAATTTAATGTGGAGAAAAGCGAGGTTTTACACCTAGATAGGAAAAACCAAAGGTACAAGTATAGATTAGGTGAAACCTGGCTCAAAAACAGTAATACCGAACAGAGACCTTGGAGTTCTAGTGGATGATCAGTTGAATATGAGCAGAATATATGTGCGGCAGCAACCAAAACTAATACAATCCTTGGTTGTGTAAAGAAGAGGCATAGAATCAAAATCACATGAAGTAGTAGTAGCGCTGTATAAAACTTCAGTAAGGCCACACCTGCAACCCAGCTCTCTGATGGAAACCTTTCTTTTCTCTGCTATCTACTTGCAGAATCTGCCATGAAAGGCTCCACAAAGAACTCCGACGCTGAGGAAGTGGTCCCGTCTCGAGTGGATCTCCGGGTTGGCAAAGTGCTCAGTGTGGAAAAGGTGAGGTGCTTTGGGTGGGTGCTGCTACAGTTACGTCTGTCCCACTGGAGGCCCACCCTTAAAGCCTCTCGGCTAGCCCCCTGATGTTCCCATTTGATGCCTACAGCATCCCGATGCTGATGCTCTGTATGTGGAGAAGATTGACCTGGGGGAGGCTGAACCTCGTACGGTGGTCAGTGGCCTGGTGGCCTTTGTGCCCAAGGAAGAGCTGCAGGACAGGCTGGTGGTGCTGGTGTGCAATATGAGGCCCCAGAAGATGCGGGGAGTGGAGTCCCAGGCCATGCTGCTCTGTGCTTTCAGGTTGGCAGAGGAAGTGGGGCAGGGTGGAAGAGCTGGGGCTTAGGTGGCGCCTCTTCCCAGAAGCCCCTGGCAGGTGGCGGCGCTCCTGTTCTCCCACGGACGCCTCCTTTCTCTGTTGCCTCAGTTCTGGAGATCCCTGCCAAGCAGAACCCTTGGACCCCCCAGCAGGCTCCTGTCCTGGAGAACGAGTGTTTGTGGAAGGCTTTGAGAATGGTCAGCCGGATGATGAGCTGAAGCCCAAGAAGAAAGTATTTGAGAAGTTGCAGGTAAGTGGAGAAGCAGGTTTGGTGCAGGTTTGCACAGAGTCCTAAGCAGGATTAGCAACCCAAACAATCCCCCTTGCCCAGGTGTGCTGCGCACCTTTTGCAGAAGGGCTCGAGAGCATTCGGAAGAGCTCAGGCTTCTGTAGGAGGCTGCCTATTGGAAGAGCAGCCTGCCGGTGCCTGCTTTCAAGTGATGTCAAACGCCACCTTTGAAGGATCTCAGCATTTTATGTGGCCCATTCATTCTTTGCTCTCTTCAGAGGAAAAGGGAAGTGTAAGAGATGGGACACGCTGACATCATTAATGACATCATTTCTAGTACTGGAGAAAGGGACAGTGAGGTTGGATCCTTGATCCATTCTTGATGGATGCTCAATAGCAGATGGAACAAATAATTAGGTTAAATATTGGAGATAACTGAGAGTGGACAATCCCTTATGTATAATAAGCTAGCAGTTCTGCAGCTGCCAAAAAAGCCAACACAGTTCTAGGAGACATCAATAGAGGGATAGGATCAAGATCGGGCAAAGTGTTAGTGCCGCTTTATACTGCACTTGTAAGACCACTGTTGGAATATTGCATCCAGTTTTGGTCGTCACAATGTAAAAAAAGATGTTGAGACCCTGGAAAAAAGAGTGCGAAGAAGAATGATTAGTGGCTGGAGGCTAAACTGTACAATAAACAGTTAAGGGAACTGTCTAGCCCAACAAAGAGAAGGACCAAGGGTGACGTGACAACTGTCTTCCAGTCCTTGAGGACAGTCACAGAGAAGAGGGGGGTCAACTTGTTCTCTAAGGCGTCTGAAGGCACTGGGCAGAAGCCGGTCAGGGGGAAATCCAACCTGGAACTCGGGAGAAAGTGCCTGACCTGAGAACCATTAATCAGTGGAACAGCTTTTGCCTCCTGCGGTCGTGGGTGCTCCGTCGCTGGAGGTCTTCAAGAAAAGACTGGACTCTGTTTGCCTGGGGTAGAATAAGGTGTCCTGCCTTGGGCAGGGGTCTCGACTGGAAGACCTCCAAGGTCCCAGGATTCTGTGATTCTCTCTCTCTATATATATATATTCACACTCTGCTAGTCCTAATGTGCTTTGCTGATTCTTTACTTAGGGAAGTTTATAAAAGGGAATCTATTTGTGGCGAGTCAGAATAGCTGCATATATCCCAGCAACGTAGGAGGCCTCTCTGACTTACTGTGGCCTCTGGTGTCCTTCCAGCAGCTGCCATCAATGTGCAGCTTTAATGTAATTGTATGAGAGAAGGAAGATGACCTTGAGGGAGTTAGGCCACCTCCACGGCCAACAGCAACAAGGGCAAAACAGTCTCAGCACGCAGCAGATGAATGTTTGGAAGAAGGTCAGACAGACACTAAACAGGGTTATTTGGAGTTTCTTTCTCACAGTTGCTTAAATCTCTGGACTGCAGTCGCTTCTCCAGGCCCCTCTTTTAAGTGGCCATTTCTTGCCTCCCCCAAGATCGCCCAGGATTCTTCGGCACATTCCTGCAATTGATTTCCCCCCCAAATTGGGCTAAAACAGGCTGACTCACCCCATCACTCAGTAGGTTGCCAAGGGCCGAGGGGCACCTAGAGCTTAATCCTCCCATCCCAACCAAATGTTGCAACCTGGTGCAACCTGGTGCTTTTGCAAGGACAGGCTGCCTACACAATGTCCGGTCCCTGTGCTGCAGTTGCCCAGCCCTCTTCAGGCCTCGGCCTCCCCAGCACAGCAGCCGGTGGCTACCAGAACTGAGCAGAGGCAGCCAGGTGTGTGTGTGGGGGGGGTTTCCTCTGAAAATAAGCAGCCCAGAGAAGATAGAAGGCAGAAGGACCCAGCAGCAGGAGGTGTAGTAGCAATGGGAAAGAGTGGAGTAGAGGAGGAGTAGCCTGTGGGTGGTTATGTGTGTGTGTGTGTGTGTTGCCTGGGGACCTTTGATGTTGGGTTGGCTTTGTTTATTCCGGAGCCCACGGACTTGGTGAAAGACGCAGGGAGAAGAACCCCGGCAGCACAGGAACTCTTGAGCAAGTCTTCTCTTTTCTCCCCCCAGGCTGACCTCCAGATTTCTGAGGACTTTGTGGCCCAGTGGAAGGGGAAGAACCTCATGACTGCCCTGGGGAACCTGACGTGCAAATCCCTGAAAGGGGGCAGCATCCGCTAGAGCCCCCCCCCGCCCCCCTCCTGCCCGCCTCTGCTCCTCCCATCAGTGATCTTCTTCACGCAGCTGCCCTTGACCCGAGGAATCATGAACCGGCTGGGACTCCGGACTTCTGCCTGGTGGGGAAGGACTCCCGCTCCCAGCAATGACGGGCCCTGGGATTCCTCCTCTCCCAGCCCGGCCAATGCCTGTCTGTGTTGCGGTCGCTTCCTTGCATTGACTGGTGACGGTGACAAAAAGCTGCTGCTTGTCCAATCCAGCAGAACAAGATTCCCCCACCCCACCCCACCCCCAGCTGATCTTCCCTCTGCGGGGAGTTGCCTCCCCCAAACGGCCGGCGCAGCCTTCCATTCCATTCCATGCGGCTGATGGGAGAGGCCTTGCTGTTGCTCCCCTGCTGCTGCTGCCGCTTCCGGGCTAGGGAAGAAGAGCTTGGCCAGAGGAGCAGAGCAGTTGGGCCTGTCGTGCATCGTTGTCCTGTGTGTCTCGAAATACAGCGCTCCCTTTCCAGGTGAACTGGTCGTGCCTTGGCTTGTTCTGTAAACCAGGTTGCCAGACTTGGGCACCCCCAGCTGTAAATGATGAGTGGTGGTCCAGCTATAAAAACTTGATCCAGTTTCTGGGCAAAAGACACAACACGATTTTGTTGCTTCTAGACCAGAGGTCCCCAAACTCGGCCACTTTAAGACTTGTGGACTTCAAGTCCCAGAATTCTCCAGCCAGCAAACTGGGAGTTGAAGTCCTCAAGTCTTAAAGTGGCCGAGTTTTGGGACCTCTGGTCTAGTGGGATAGAGGTGTGGAAGCTGCTTATTAAAAGAAATGCTCAAAAGCTTTTGAACCATGATTTGAAAATCGTCATTAGGACCGGACTGCTCTGCTGCGGTTACTCTTAAGAGCAGCATTTCTCAGCTTCAATCTGGGTGGGCTTCAACCCCCAGCATCCCCCAACCGGCGCATCCTAGAGTAACCTAGGCTGCCGGGTCCTGCGAGGGGAGGCTAGGCAAGTTGAAGCTGGAGGTGTCTTCTGTGGGGTGGGGTGGGGTGCTCTGTCGAAGGAGAAGACCGTGGCTAAGGTGGATGGACGGGGAGGAGGATATCGGGAAATCCGGAGCGCTCCCGTCGGACTCTTCCTCGGCTGGGCATTTACCCAAAGAGACGCCAGGAGCTGAGACTTGAGCCAATGGCACATAAATAATCCTTTCCAGTTTGGAGGAAATGCAGAGCTTGCTTGTTCATCTCAAGTAGGCATAAATCTTTTGAGTGTTTAGTATTTTAGGGTGAATTGTATTTGTGCTGTGAGTAACTCCAGAGTGGCCGCGCTCCCTAAGTATCGGAGCCAGGACACATGGCTCTTTTTGTACTGGTAGTTCTCAACATATGATCACAGCTGAGCTCAAAATTTCTGTTGCTAAGCAAGACACTTTTGCCTCCTTTTATGACCTTTCTCGCCATAGCTGTTAAGTTGATCACTGCAGTTAAGTTAGTGGATCTGGCTTCCCCGCTGACCTTGCAGAGATCCCAGGACAACCATCATAAATACAAGTCAGTTGCCAAGCATCTGAACTTTGATGACATGCTGCAAGCTGTGTGAAAAAAAACATCCTTTTTTTCAATGCCATTGTAGCTTTGAACAGTCACTAAATGAACTCTTTGTAAGTTGAGGACTGGCTGCCCTGGGGCTGTTTCCTTTTCCTTCCAAGTGAGCAGCAGCTCCTAGCAGCTGCCTTTTATCTGCAGGGCCCGGAGGGAGGGAAGGACCGGCTGAAGGTCCCCCAGGCAGGGCTGGAACTCCGGCTCTCTTGGGTTTTCAGGGCCTAAACTCTGCTGATGGCAACCATTAAATTAAGCAAGCCCACCCTGGGGGTGTTTATTCAGGGCTGGAAATGCTTTAGTCTCTGACCCGCGCTTGGCACAGATCGGGCATTTTGAGCCACGTTTCTATCTACCCAAAAGTTGACCTAATGGACCATTAGAGGTTTTGCAGCCAATCTGTGGAAACAGCCTGATTATCCCCTGATCCTGCTTCCCACAATTCTTTTCGAATAAGTGTTGCCCTTCTCAAAAAACACCCCCATCAGTTGGGGCTTGCTTGGAGCCCCCAGATCAGGCTGAGGTTCGGGGCAGAAGAGCCCTTTGCAAACCTCCGTTAACATAATCAAGTCCTCCAAAACTTGGCAATTGTCTCAGTAAGGCGGCGGTCTTAAGCCTCTGTGAAAGTAAGACGGCTCTTCTGGCTCCCTATTGAAAATAACCGTCCTTCCGAAATGGCTATGAACAGATTCTGTGGGCTCTGGGGGTCCCATTTGGCCCCGCCCCCACCCTGTCCTTCAAAGGGGCCGGAAGGAAACTTTCCCGGCTCGCAGGGGCCGCTTGAGCCCATTTCTCCAGCTGGGAGGAGAAGCGTCTAAAAAGCCACAACTGCACAACTGAGGTCCTGCCCTTCTGCAGGTCTTGCACAGACTGGGTTTTTATAAGAGCAGCATTTGTACTGCGATGCCCTCCATCTTGACTTTTTTGACCTCCCCTGCCTCTTGACACCCGCTCTTCCTTCCTCCCCATTCGGGGCACCCAATGTGCCCTTCCTCTCACCCTCCTCATATCACAGGAAAGAAGAGTCAGCAAGCAAGCTTTTAATCAGTCATTTTACAAATGCACATTAATCTTTTTTAAAACAGAATTGACCTTTTTTTCTTTTTTAAAGCAACCCTTCCCTTTCCCCACCAGAGTGGAAATCAAATCAACAGACTCCCAAGGTTTTCCAAGGTGTAGAGAGCAGCTGCCAGCTGTTCAAGAACAGAAAAACAAAAAAAGGGGGGGTGGAAAGACAAAACCAGGCAGAGCTTTTTCCATCTCCTTTGCAGCCACAAAGGCAAGATGGTGCTGTGGCCACTTTCTCCCCCCTGCTCTTGGCTGAAGAAAAAGCCACAGATTTGCACCACGTGCAAACTTAAAACCCTGACTTCCTCGAGGATGGTGGCAAGCCTCCCACAGTGCGCCCCGGGGCTGAGGGCCGGGGGGGGGGGGGGCATTTGCCACTGCAGGCACGTGTGGTGGTTTGGGAAGGAAAGAGGGCGTGGGTCTCGGCGCCCCCTTCGCCCTTCTGCAGAGGGTGCCCTCTGAGTCAGCACCATTTGCTAACATCTCAGCCGACCAGGTCGACCATGGATGCAGGTAATAGTGACTTGGAACAGTTAACGATGCCCAGCCCTTTTCTTGCACGTCTGGCAGGAGGCCACAAAACCCCCGATCCGCAGCTGCCTCTGCCCAAGCTCCCCCTAACTCTCCCCCTCCCCAGCCAGGATGGCCAGACCAAGGGCCCTGCAAGCAATCTGGGCCCTGTGGGGGCCCCCCGGGATGCTGCAGGCTGCCCTCCCTGCACTCTGGGGATCGCAGACCTCTGATGAGCCCCTGCTGGCCATGCCTGGTGGGGGAGAGGAGACCCCCAAGACGCTCCTGCCCGGATCGGGACACTCCAAGTGTCACACCACCAAGTGTTCCTGCATCCAGGCTCTCCCTCCAGTCTGGATGGCATTTGCCCACCCCACCCCGGCTTCTAGCAAGAGCTGCTGCATCTCTGCAGAAGGGTGTGTAAATCGGATCCAATTGCTCTGCATCTCTGGGCCCATTAGCAACTAAGGGGCTAAGTCACCACAAATGAAACACAAGTGGAGGCACCCCGTGACCTTTATCACTTGGATTTCTTGGTGGGAGGGGGAGAAGGAGAGGATGGCCTGAAGTCGTTTCCCCACCACCACCCAACTCTCCAATGGATCCTCTGTCCTCAATGACCCGAGACGGGAATGTTTTGGTGCAAAATTCAGTGGTGTTTTTTTTTTTTTTTTCTCTTGGCAGTGGAGAGCTACAGTATATTCCGGACAGTTGCCAGTGCTTGCCAAACCTTGACAGTGCTGTGTCAGGTGTCTGCTACCCTCTCCTGTCCATGGCAAGACAGCTCTGAGATTCTCCCACCCCACCCCACCCCCCATGGAGTGGGGGGCTTCCCTCAGGCAGCACTCATGGCACAGATGAAGAGAGACTGGCAAAAATCTTTGGGCGGCTGCACCATCTTCTAGGCTGCCATTTGTGCTTTAGTCGGGGCGGGCAAGGGGGGGGAGGTTGTACAGGCACCCCCTGCTTGGAATCAGCTGTTTACAACAGCCAGAATCTGCCCACAGGAGTCCAGAGCAAAACTGCCATCAGGGCCTCTTCTGGGACCCGGCACCGTCCAGGAAGACTGAGCAGGAATTTCCCGTAATGGCCGTCCTCCTCAGACCCCACTGTGATCTGAGAAAGGGCTTTCATGCCACACGGGTGTGCAAGCCCAGCCCATTGTCTTCACTCCCCAAATGCCCCCCCCCCGAACGGCAACAGGCAACGCAACCCATTAAAAAGGCATGGGGGGGGGACACAACTGCAACAAGCTGCTTCAGTTCTGACCATCCTCCCTGCAAGACACCGAGTTGTTCTTATCTTCCGCTACCTGAAGCTGTTTTCTCACGCCAAACCGGGGAGGAGGGGGAGGAATTCAACACCACCAAACCAAGCAGGACCAACGGAAGGTTCGAGTCCCAGGAGAGACGGGAGGGTGGAAAGGGATGTGCTCCTTTGTCCCTGGGTTTAAAAGAACCGCATTGCTGAGGACATCCAAGCCAATCCCGCTGTTGCATAAGTATCAAGGCCACAGGAGACACAGGAGGGTTGTTTTCTTCGGTGCCACCATCAAAGCTTCTCTTCTGGCCCTCAGAGGTCCCTGAGAATATTTTTCTTGTCCAAGCCCTGTATCCGACCGGCACATGTACCTCGCAGGGTCCTCCTTCACACCCCCTCCTCCTCCTTTGCCTCTGCAACGAGAGAGAGAGAGAGAGAGAGAGAGAGAGAGAGAGAGGGAGAGAGGGAGAGAGAGAGAGAGAGTTACAGGGTTACTTTCATTCCCCGGGAATAGCATGAGATTTTGCAGCAGAGGTCAAGAGCCTTGGACCAAGCCTGCCCCACCTCCCAACCTTGGTTGCTGCTACTGACGTAGCTGCTCATCTCACGTAAAACAAGGCCAAGCCTGGCAGCACCAGGGCAGGGGCCATGATGGCCCAGACTCGAATTGGGTGGCACCTGCAGGGAGCTTCAGGGTCACCTGAGAATGAGGAAGGGGCCCCCTATGGAACCTCTGCAGGGGGCAGGAAAGTCCATCAAACCAGTCAGGAAAGGTTGCTGTCTTGAGGTGGGAAACCCATGGCCTCACAGGCAGCTATTCCACTGCTAGGGATTTGATCAGCTGAAGGATTTCTCTGCTACAGGGAGTCCCTACTTCATGATGGCAATGGAGACTGAAATTTCCATCTCTAAGCAAGCTGGTCATAAAGCGCCCCCGTGTGTGACCAGGCTGCTTAGTGGCGGCAGTTCAGGCAGCCCCCGATGACTGTCACAACTTGAGGCTTCCTGTCCGCTCCCCCATTGCTTGGGGAAGGTTGCAAAAAGCGACTGCCTTGCTGCACGTCACGGCAACCGTCAGAACTTAGGGGGCTGGTTATAAGGGCCACTTGCTCAGCGCCATCCCAAGTTTGAACCACCTCTGCTGAAACGAAGTCTAAGAGCTGCAATTTGCTACTCATGATTTAACTGTGAGAGGCACCTTGGAGGCCTAGCGGACGTTCCCTTAAACGGGAGCCAGCCGTGTGCGGCAGCAGCCAAAAAATTGAACACAAAACTGGGTTGTATAAACAGAGGCATAGAATCAAAATCACGTGAACTATTATTACTAATGTATAAAGCCTTAGTAAGGCCACGCCTGGAATACTGCATCCAGTTTTGGTCACCACATTACAAAAAAGATGTTGAGA